GCAAAGTTGGATTGCAAAATTTTGCAAGTCGGTTAACTCAACAAAGGGTTGTGTCAAATAAATAATATATATATATAGTCATATATATATATATTTATGTATAGTCATATATATATATAGATGACATGGGGTATTGAACCAGCGTGCAACGTTTGAGCACCTTCATGTAGGACACTGATGAAGGAAAAACCTATGACTATCATCGCAGTACAATACGATATGGGTACCCTCTAGTAATCAAACGCGACTTGCTGGAAAATCCTCCGATTAGTTCGAGGATTTTCCCATTTGAACCTCCATTTAGTCCGGGGATTTTCCAGCCAGCCACGTTTGAATTCCATTAAATCACATTAAATCCCACACCAACACATTAAATCACACTAAATCCCACAAATTCACATTAAATCACATGAATTCAATCACATTCATCACCAGAGGGTGAAGTGACATATGGTCGCGTCATTGCACCGGAATATGTTCAGCCGGCTGTGGAGCTGATGAAACCGGAGGGTTGACAATAGTTTTATGTGAATAATCTATTAGCATTGATGTTGATTCAATTTCGTATATATATATATATATTATACAGTGTGTATATATATACTACATATACGCATATGGGAACAACAACATGTAACATACACATATGAATACACATTCACTCATGATGTTTTGTTTCAATCCTTCATGTTTGCTGCTGCAACTTCTCACAAATGGATCTAATATATCACCATCAGCCGTCAACCCATCATGTACAGGTCATGATTCCCCATGTTTGACCCATCAATCCAATCATTAGTCAACCATGACCATCACTTGTGGTTTACATCATATATATATATATATATGTATGTCTGTCTGTCTGTCTGTATGTATGTATGTGTATGTATATGTATGTAAATGTATATGTATATGTATGTATATGTATGTATATGTATGCATATGTATGTATATGTATGTACATGTATGTATTTGTATATGCATGTATGTGTATGTATGTGTATGTATATATGTGTATGTATGTGAATGTATGTGTATGTATGTGTGTGTATGTGTATGGATGTGTATGCATGTGTATGCATGTGTATGCATGTGTATGTATGTGTATGTATGTGTATGTATGTGTATGTATGTGTATGTATGTGTATGTATGTGTATGTATGTGTATGTATGTGTATGTATGTGTATGTATGTGTATGTATGTGTAGGTATGTGTATGTATGTGTATGTATGTGTATGTATGTGTATGTATGTGTATGTATGTGTATGTATGTGTATGTATGTGTATGTATGTGTATGTATGTGTATGTATGTGTATGTATGTATGTATGTATGTACGCATGCATGCATGCATGCATGCATGTATGTATGTATGTATATTGTATGTTATTGTAAATTGTATGTTATTGAAAATTGTATGTTATTGTAAATTGTATGTTATTGTAAATTGTATGTTTTTGTAAATTGTATGTTATTGTATGTTATTGTATGTTATTGTATGTTATTGTATGTTATTGTATGTTATTGTATGTAACTGTATGTATTTGTATGTGATTGTATGTAATTGTATGTGTGTGTATGTAATTGTATGTGATTGTATGTAATTGTATGTAATTGTATGTAATTGTATGTAATTGTATGTATTTGTATGTATGTGATTGTATGGTATTGTATGTTATTGTAGGTTATTGTATGTTAATGGATGTTATTGTATGTTATTGCATGTTATTGCATGTTATTGTATGTTACTGTATGTTAATGTATGTTAATGTATGTTAATGTATGTTAATGTATGTTAATGTATGTTAATGTATGTTAATGTATGTTACGGTTTTAATGTATGTTAATGTATGTTAATGTAGGTTAATGTATGTCAATGTATGTTAATGTATGTTAATGTAGGTTAATGTATGTTAATGTATGTTAACGTATGTTCATGTATGTTAATGTATGTTCATGTATGTTAATGTATGTTAATGTATGTTAATGTAGGTTAATGTATGTTAATGTATGTTAACGTATGTTCATGTATGTTAATGTATGTTCATGTATGTTAATGTATGTTAATGTGTGTTAATGTATGTTAATGTATGTTAATGTATGTTAATGTATGTTACGGTTTTAATGTATGTTAATGTATGTTAATGTAGGTTAATGTAGGTTAATGTATGTCAATGTATGTTAATGTATGTTAATGTAGGTTAATGTATGTTAACGTATGTTCATGTATGTTCATGTATGTTAATGTATGTTAATGTGTGTTAATGTATGTTAATGTATGTGTATGTATGTGTATGTATGCGTATGTATGCGTATGTATGTGTATGTATGTGTATGTATGTGTATGTATGTGTATGTATGTGTATGTATGTGTATGTATGTGTATGTATGTGTAATGTATGTGTATGTATGTGTATGTATGTGTATGTATGTGTATGTATGTATGTGTATGTATGTATGTATGTATGTATGTATGTATGTGTATGTATGTGTATGTATGTGTATGTATGTGTATGTATGTGTATGTATGTATGTATGTTATTGTATGTTATTGTGTGTGTGTATGTTATTGTATGTTATTGTTTGTATGTCTGTATGTATGTTATTGTATGTTATTGTATGTTATTGTATGTATGTCTGCATGTCTGTATGTCTGTATGTCTGTATGCCTGTATGTCTGTATGTCTGTATGTCTGTAAGTCTGTATGCCTGTACGTCTGTATGTCTGTATGTCTGTATGCCTGTATGTCTGTATGTCTGTATGCCTATATGTCTGTATGTCTGTATGTCTGTCTGTCTGTATGTCCGTATTTCTGTCTGTATGTCTGTATGTCTGTATGCCTGTATGTCTGTCTGTCCGTATGTCTGTCTGTCTGTATGTCTGTCTGTCTCTATGTCTGTATGCCTGTATGTCTGTATGCCTGTATGTCTGTGTCTGTATGTCTGTATGTCTGTATGTATGTATGTCTGTATGTCTCTTTTTAATGTAATGGAATGGAATGGAATCGAATGTATGTGTGTTTATTGACAGTCCTGACATAAAATCCCAATTTTTCTGGATTCAATCCTTTGCTCAACTAAGTCTCCAATCATCTCCCGACCGCTAGCGCCGCCTTCATGGCATCTACTAGACGACCCTTCGGTCGTCAAGAAGCGCCTCACCGCGTCGGACCTCAGCGGTGAGGCGCTAAAACCTCGTTCTCATAGGATTTAAACGGGTTTACATGGGATTTATTGGGATTATAATAGGATTTATTGGGATTCTAAAAGGATGTTATAGGTATATAATGAGGATATTATATAATCCACTAAGACTATCATCATAATTTGCCCACTGGCCATTGCCAGTTTTTAGGTGCAGGGTATGATGAACAAAATATGGGAGAAACGGAGAAACCCATGTAAAGATTGCAGATAGATGGTTTTATGGGGTGAAAAAAGGTGGCCACATATTTGTGGATGCCGTTGACCGCTTGGTAGCCCGACTATTGGATAAAGAATGGCAAAACCATGGCTGATGGCAAACATTACAGCACCAAAGCATAGAGCATTTGTGCTGTGGCCAAAGATGGTATATGTGGTATGGTCATCAGTCCCAGAGCGGGACTCTTTCCAATGAGTATATGAATCCCTATCAATGGAAGATGACCATCATCCAATATGGATATATTGCCCATCGACCGTGGCACATATCCGTATAGAAAAGGTCATGACATTCCAGGAAAGATCAACAGTGTACTGCTCCTTGGGTCATGAAACTTGCCAAACCAATCCTAGGATGAAAACTCAGGGCCATATGGACCACTGACCCTACTACCTCTACAGGACTGGCCGGGCTCTAGGAACTGAATGGTCACGATAATTTCTCAGGAGCCAATATGCTCATCCGCTACTATGGGCTACAAACTCAGAATGCGGTGACTCTGTTATCAAATCCTCACATGTACCATGGTGAAAATACGGTATATGGATACATGTAAATCTATATATTATACATATATATATATAGAGTGTACATATGCTTGTTGTTTTCTGATGATGACTGGAATCCTTAAATCGGCTATGAACTAACTATTATATATATAAAGCCTTGGTATGACAATCAACAAAATATTGGCCTGATCTAATTCAAATTTTGATCATGGCAAATATCAGAGTTGGATCTCCAGATGTCCACATCAATCTGGATTAAACCGTTTTCAGTTCAACCGGGACGATTGACCCCCAGTCCGAGATCAGTCGAGAATGACTAGACGACTGAAACTCGAGGAAAATTTCCGAGATTGCAAAAGGATATATTGGGGGATTACCATCTAGATAATGTTAACCAGGGATGCAGGACTACCATAAGATGCTATAATCTGAATGTTTCTCGATATCTGGGGAATCATCATGACAAAAAACAGATGTGCAGGATATATTATCGGAAAGGATCCTTCCACTAACACACACACACGTAACTTCAGCTTCTGTTTATTCGACATGGTTATGAGCAAAGTCCCCAATTTCAATATGCAAAACTCATGTATCCCCCATGAAGCACACTCCGTTGTCATGTTTGCTTACCAAAAAGTATTCACAGGGACCCGGTAATTTGTCATCAGCAACATTCAAACATACAGTAAACATCAACAAACAACTCCAAAACAATCGCATTTGCGTTGTACACCATCAAGTTAGATTAAACTGCTTTTTTTTAATATAAACATAAACCATCTACATCTATACATACATATATATATATATATATATTTATTTATTTCAAGACGGATAGACATATCAGCCATGAATGACAGCATGATGAAGTCGTTTCAGGTTGAAGTTCCCCCGGTTTGCCCACAACGAGAACGCGTCGCTTGGGTCGTTCCTTGGCCTTCGGACCGGCCATTCCGGCGCTGGTGCACGCCGCTGCAGTCGCTGGTGCGCGTGTAGCCCTCCTGGTCGGTGGCTGGAGACTCAATGGCTAAGGCAAAATGATGGGATATCAACAATCATGGGGGGAAAGTGGGATATAGTGACGATGATCTAAGGGGTATACTATGTTGTAAACTTGCAAAAAAAAACATATCTGTATATATATATATATTAATATATATATAGGGATATGGTGGAACAACAGCATGTATGTATAAATGAATATATATATATATATTTAATATTATCAACCATCATGGGGATACACACATATATATATATATATTATTATTATTACTATTATTATTATTATCTAATGTGTAAACATGTGTGTGTATATTTGTATGATGTATATAAGGGATATAGTGCAGATGCTATGGGGTGGTAACAGGGATGTTGGGTCAAAAGTGTATGGTTTTTGTGGTCATTTTTTCCAAAAAAGGAAATCCTGATGATGGGCATATAGATCTACCCCCCAATATCGGCAAATTGCTCAAGTTTCCACCATACAGTATGATCAACAATTGTGGGATTTCCATAGAGTATATATATATATATAGATATGTACATTGATATACGAGATATACTGGTGATATGGTGGTGATATTGTGGGATATAGTGCGGTACATGCAAGACAGTATTCATACAGTATTCATCACCAAACATACAATATGATAAAGGATAAACAAAGGATATCGTTTGATACAATAGGGTTATAGTATAATGGAATAACTATCAGACATAATCGGGATATCATGGGAATTTAAAGGGAATACAATGGGGATACTTCCATATAACCAAGGGGGGTGGGCCACGCATCAGCTGTCCATGGTAATGGTGACCCCGGCCTCATGGCGCTGCGTGTAGGCTTGAAGTTCAAGCACCACCTGCGATTTGGTCGCCTGATCCACTGGAAAAGCTGCGGGAAGCCACGGCTTTGTCGTAATATCATTCGGAAACGATGGGGATATCATTGCTGATATCAAGGCAATGGTAGTCTAGTTGGATCCAATGGTATCTATCCAATGGGAATGTAATCCCTTCCGCCTATTAAAAAAGCGAAATCATGGTGGATGTAACAGGTCACAAAGTTGGATGGGATGGGGGGTCTGTTGATCACTTTGAGCGACGACCCGAAGAAAAAGCGGATCTAAATTGTGCATATGACTTGATGAGGATGACAACACCATAACCATGATATGGCTCACACTCAAAAAAACATAAACCAGAGTAACCGAAAAAACTGCACACAGGAATATACAGGATGTGTATAGACCAACAACCAAAACGAGTAACTTGCTATGAGACATGATTTCAGACTCTCAACTTGGACGGCCAGATCTGGTCGCGGATACTGTGCCAACGCGTGCAACAAATGTTCTTGTCGGTCTGCTTTGGATGATCTTTCCGCACGAACAGGTTTATCTCAAAAAAAGCTAGCTTGGATACCACCAAATTCCAAGGTTTTGGTCATGTGACATGAATATACCGATGTGGCCCATTTCCAGACAGATTATCAGCCCGTTGCAATACCGGCCCGAAGCTTACACCATTTTAGCAATGCCACAGTCACTCATAATTGTTTTATGTGTTTGGATCCCTCCCTTAAATAGCACAGTCAAAACGCAGAACGCAAAACGCGCGTTCCAGAACGCACGTTCCGAACGCAGAGGGGAGGTTATAGTTGTTTTTGGCTCACAGAAGCCTCCCATAATCTTTTTTGGTCCTTGCAAGAAGGATCCGCTGTGTCACACAAATTCTTTTAACCAATTTTCAAGGTCGGTATCCACGACGGAGTTAATAGCACTACGATGAAATTTGTGAGAGGTCAGTCAGAACCTTTTTCTTTCAGTGAAAAAAAGGATCCGGGAAGGAATCCTGACTTGCCCCACAAACCTGGTGAGGCCAGAAACTTTTTTGCTTCACCCAAAAAAGGATTTGGATTTGGGAAGATCAGCACCCAGGATTTTTTCTGGTGGCTTCATCCACCATTTTGAACCCATAAGAGCTCTCAAAATCCTTTTTTATTTCGGGGGAAAAAGGTTTCAGTGTCCAGGCCCAGGAAATACATTAACTTTGGGTTATTGGAAAAAAGGATCCATTCAGAACGCGCGTTCCGAAACGCGAGTTTTTAAAACGGCGTTCCGAAGGCCAAACCGTACCTCCTATGGACGATGCTTTCCACGTATGATGGCGACCAAGCACCAACAATGTGGCTGGGAACTTGTTCACACGTTGAAATCTTGATGTCCTGAGAAGTTTTGGTTCAATGATCCGCTACATGATCATTCATTGAATCCGTGTAATGGCTACATAAATCCAAATTAATGAGGGTTTGACCACCTCCCCAATTTAGGTATACCATCCAATTGTTGATTGTAGTAGATTATGTTTATATATATATACATATCCCATTAAATTCTCCATTGGCATCCCTCATGTCCACTGGTTAAAACCCACTTTTCAGCATGGCACATATGGCTTTTGCTACCAAAAAACTATGCACCCCTTTCATTCAATTTTGGGATTCCAATTAATGAATGGATCCAAACCTAAAGCGAGATTTCATTTCGGGATATTTGATATTGGAACGGATTAATTTCAATAAATCCCAAACATGATATATATATATATATATATCATCTATCAATATATATCATCATATATCATGCCTTGACGCTTTCCGGGCAACACCAAGTGTCATTTAGGCCTGTCTGAAAAACATGTACCCCTTCACCAATCATCAGTTCTATGCTTGCATGGCACTGAATGTAAATGTCCAAATGAAACCATGATGCAAAGAGAAACCACTAAAGAGTGTTTACCCTGGTCTACAGTATGAAGCCCAAAAGTCCAAGGTCGCTTCCGATTCTGTCCAGGTACCAGATGCAAAGGAAGCCGTCCATCCTGGCGCAACAATCAAGGCGAAACAAGGATTAACAAATCATGTTTCTTGGTAGAAAAATCATGAGGAGTTCACGGAAAATATATGAAAATGCGGTGTTTTAACTATCAACAAATGGGGGGTTCAATGAGCTTTAACAAGTTGCTCCCCTTTGGTTATTTAATGTACTAGCTATGGAAAATCATTCAATGGTGATACAATGTATATGTATCAAATATGGAGCGAAATACAAATTTCCATGGCTACTTGGGTCTAGGTTCGCTTCAGTGTGTTCTTTATCTTGTTCCCGAAAATGCCCGTAGGCCTGGCAGGTCACATTTGCATCCGCTCGAGCGGAGAGCAAGGCTTTGGCCACGCTGGCGAAACCTGACTTTCGTGGACTTTTTCGCGGGCGCGCTGGGTTTGTGCAGCAAATATCATTGGGATATCTCACCAATCATGTGGTCTTTAAGGTGTGGGACCTGAAAATTTAGGTTTTGTTGTGAACATTTATTGTTTGTAGCTAGAGTTTGAAAGGTTTAGGGCCAGGGTGTACAAATCAGGTTTTGCGGCCAGGTATTCAAAGGTTTCGGAATAAAATTGCGACTTCAGAAGGAAAATGCTGATAAACCATATTCGAAGGAAGTTTAGAAGTCAAACTTCCGACAATATGGACAGATGAAAAGCAGAGATGGGAAGAGTCAGAGAAGGTCAGAGAAGAGAAGAGAAGAGAAGAAGAAAGAATATCAAAAAAGAGAAATTCTTGGCAGAAAGAAGATCCAGGCGGATGCAGAGCCATCTGGCCAGATGAGAGATGAAAAGTTGCACGCCATTTTGGCGCAAAGTACATACATTTCCCAGTCCCAATGTACAAAACACCATGCTCGGACCGCTTTTGGCTGTTGAGATGTCGAAAAAGTGCACGCCGTTGCGGCGCGAAGCACATTTCGAAGTCAAAAGTGTTAAAAACTGACGGTCTCGGACCACTGTTAGAAGTTGAGATGTCGAAAAAGTGTACTACGGTTTGGCGCGAAGCACATTTCGAAGTCAAAAGTGGAAAAAACTGATGGGCTTGGAGCACTCTTGGACGTTCGGATGTCGTTTTGCGTGGCAGGCACAAGGGATTCTGCACCTTGCCAAAAGTGAGCAAAACGTGCGGGTTTTGTGGCAATTTCAACTACAACCACTACACTACACTACACCTCCGCTACACTACAACTACAATTACAACTACAACTGCACAACACTGCACTACACTACACTGCACTACACTCCACTCCACTTCACTACATTCCATTACACATCAACTACAACTACAACTACAATTACAACTACAACTACACTACATTACACAACACTAATTACATTGCACTACGCTAATTACATTACACTCCGCTACTCTACACTACACAAACTACAACTACAGCTACAACTACAACTACGCTACTTTACACTACACTAGACTACACTACACTACCCTACATCCAGCAGTTGTGGGTGAGGTGACCAACCAGGCGACCACTGCAATCATTGTAACCACTCCAAAAAAGACAGCTCCAACCACCTTTCAGTCCATCAATGGATTTGCTCTGCCATCTGTGATTCGCAACAACCAAGCTCTCCTATAGGTTTCCTATTCTGAAACTTCCGCCACCGCCTTGTGCGGTACTACTGGTATTTATCATTGAACCATTGGGTTTTGGGGTACCCTATTTTCAACCAAATCCACATATCAGGGATAAACCAGCATCTTTCCTTCAAGAAAAGGCATGTTTTTTGGCACAATTGTCATGGGGATCCAGCATGATCCACCTCTCCAAATGCAACCCTTCCAGTCTCAACAAAACTAATCAGGGTTTCTTAAACGATCTATTCTTGGGAGGCCTCTTTTTGCCCGCATTCAACGTGTCCGGTTAGATGGTTCGGTTTCTACAACCGCCAAAAATATAATATGGACTTCGCCTGGCGCTTCGCCTAGAACATCTATGAAGAACTGCAAAAAACCATGTGGAATATGGGGGCATGTATGGGCGGTCGCAGGGTTTGGGGGTGAGCTGAAACGTCTTGGATTTAAGCATCGAAATTGGAGATCAACAATCAGGATTCATCCACATGAGTTTACCGAGACAGAACATCCCTGAAAGATGGAGAGTACAATCAGCATGGTCTTGTGCTCAATAATGATGAATGCAACGGGCCTTGATCATCTGATAGTCGTGCGGATTTTTTTTGCGGATATAACATCGAGCATTTTATTGGGATATACTCCGAAATATAACCAACAGAATGGTGTCTCAGGCGTGTCTGAACATATGGGGTCGTTTTTGCGTCTTTGCTGGGTCAGAACTGAAGGCCAATTGGGAACATGTTTGTTTGGGGACAAACCATGGCAAAAAGGAAAATTGATGAAATTTGTTTATCCAACATGATCCGAAGAGTCCAAAGCGATTTCTCCTCAGACTTGATCATCTATTGAAAGTTAGGACAGTTTTGAAGGTATATTCTGAAATATAACATCCTTGCCTGGGGTGAAGTGTACTCCATCGGGTCATACCCATGCCTTGTAACCCCCAGGCTTTGGATTCGACATTTCGCGTTGGGGTCGGTGATGTCATGGGCCTAGGAGCACAAATCATGCCATGCGGCTCCCCATATGTGCCATTGTCAAGTGGTGTTCTCGGCAGAGAAAAACGGCACCACGGGTCGAGACGACATGCACCAAGTTGTAAATCGACTGGTTGGCCACTTGCAAGTGGCAGTAGCGTTGGCTAAGCATTGGCCTGGAGAAAATGTGTTTTCCGAGCCTTGCTCGACGTACCCTAGAACTTGGGCCGTTTTCGGGATCAAGAAACGGAGGTTATACCGTCATGGCCACCCAGCGCGTGGCCGCCAGCCAGAAACGACAGTCTTCCAAGACCAAGACGAAGTTGATGTATCGGCCTGGCTCTGCTTCGGTTGCCACTGTACTGAGAGCTGCCAGCTGGGCTGGATCAAATTTTCCTGAAAAAATTGGTGTGCTGAGAACCATTATGTCATTGCTAACCCCTGAAACTTGATATAACCATTGTTAAACCCAGGGGATGGTTGTCCTTTTTAATGGGAAAATCAACGATGTAGCCTGACCATGGCACATATAGTTCTACCCCCGGCAGCATGGTAAGCCAAAGAGCCGTGCACTGCTGAAAGGTGCAAGGGAGTCAAGCCTTCTGCATTGCACGAGTCCTCAGCGCAAAAGCGGCCCAAAAGAGGCCTGAAAAACTTGGGAGATGATGATGGCCTGAACATGATTTCAAGCGATATCACCAAGGTTGAAGAGAACAATAATGGGAAATTGATTAACCAAAAATCACGTGTTCATTGGACGAGGAGGAGGCGGAGGAGGTACTGACACAAAATCCAGAGAGCCTCACCTGACAGGTGGAGAATCATCCAGAAATGGTGAATGTTTCTCACTTCCTGCAAGCCCAGCTTGATGATTACCAACAACTAATCCAAATCGTTCCTCCCACTTTTGGTCTCACCCGTTATTACATCTTAAGGGCCCCCTACTACAGTAAAATTCAGTGACCACTGGCACAGAGTGTTGGGGTGACAATCCAGGCTATACCTCTGGGTATTTACGTTCTGGTCTGCACATGGGGATTTACCTTCTGGAAAAGAATCTAACACCACAACGGCGAAACTAGGCAGATTATGGTATATAGGTTAAACAACAGAGGAAAACGACAAATCCAGAACCCGGTCAGTACTTGATTTTCTACCGAATTGTTGAATGGAGACTATGAGCAAATCCAACATGGGACCCCTCAACAAATATGTGGTGACAGGTTGGCTGAACTGGATGTTCGAGTGAGGTTGTTTTTTGCGTGTGCCAGGTCTGAGTACTCCCCTCTGGAGTTGTCCCCTGTTAATCATATGTTCACTTTAACTTGGGTCCCCGCATGATCAACACCAGTACTAAGCCATGTTTTTTGGAGTTGTATGTGATATCATCGACTAGACTGAGCCTGGGATTCAACCAACATCATATTGTTGGTTGCACGCGCGTCCCATTATATCCCCATTGTATATACACCCATATACACCCATCAAATACCCTATGAAATGGGTCTTGTTATCCCAACAAAACATCCCATTATCAGAAACCATTGCATCCATCAGCACTGACCATAAACATCCACAATATCCATCACTTGACCCATCTTCCCACACTTAGGATTTAAAGCCATATAGAAACTCATAAAACTCTATTCATTTTGGCTATTTGAAACTTAAATGCAATCATTCAAGATTTCATCGGTTTTCCCCGTGACATGGATCTAGATTCTTTACCGCGCTCCAGCGCCTTGGACGGCCAAGGGACCGGCGTGGCATGCGCTTGCAGTAGGGCTTTCACCGCACCCAACGCACCATTGGCGCTGGCCAAATGCAAGGCACTGCGACCCTGCCGTGGCCGTGGGATAGGACGTAAGTATTGCAAGATGCCAAGATGCCCATGGCAATTGGGATATAATGTCTCTACAATTATGAGCAATAAAATATCATATGCAGATTATACATTCATGCAAAAAGGGATTCAAACTGTCACTTCCAACCACGACAAGTTGTTCTTCCAATAGCAAACATTGGAATTTCACCCGTGTGAGTAAGATTTAACCTACACACATGGGGATCAATCATATGATAACTTAAACAAAAAAACTAAATCTGACGAAACAAAATCTACAAGCATGATCTGTTAACCAACAAAATGTCAGCGTCACCGTGCAAGGAACAATGATATTTCATGATGTTTCAAGCAACAAAAATGTTTGACTAGCAAGAATACAGAAACGTGGACAACCCACAACGATCATGGAATTCTAACCGACAACAAGGGAGTAGTTAGTAGAGTTCAAACAGCAGGAATGGGGTTCCACCAGCAAAAAAAGGGATTTCACTGGCAAAAGTGGCATTTGGAAAGATATGGGTTTCAACCACAATACTTACTGGGAATGTTTTACAATGAATAGTAATGGTGATGGGTGGTAACCATACATGTTTATATGTTTTGAGTTTTGAACTGCTGTAGTCATTATAAGGATCCAGAAATACCTGCTATATAAATTTTATACCTATTACACAACTAAACTAGGGAAATGCGACATGTTTATTGACGTCATAGTTTTTTTTTTATGACTTTCATCACTTCACCGAAGTCCTGATTTGGGATTTTTTTCGGCCTCAGGATGGAACGGATGAGGATTTCGTGGATCCAAGATGTTTATATATTTCGACCCACCAAAAAATGCATTGTAAAAAAAGGAGGTGCCCAAGAAATCCTCAAATGTTTGCTGGTCATTATGTCGTTGTCTCGATGCTGGAAAAATTACCGACATTTGTTAACTTCCAAGAGTTGCTGGTCAAAAACTGTTAATTTCTGGTTTGAAAAAACAGTTATTGGTTCGCAAAAACCGTTATCTTCATCAGTTTTTTTGTATTTCAATAAACCTTACACTTGCATGGTTACTTAAAAACATATGTGTAGGCTAAACAACTGTATTATTACAGTATCGGATTGCACTATACCATGGTAGACCCAACAATGAACCACCCCCGAATTTACCAGAAATGGGTCCTACTGGAAGAACTCAGCATTTGGAACCACAGTCCAAGTTGCCCAACATATACGGTTGATGAGCATGCAGCATGCATTTGATGTGTCTATATCCACACTTATATACATGATTGTTTCAAATCATCAAAAAAACAATGCAATGATGCACACCTGTCAAAATTTCAAATGTGTCACACATGATTCTAAGCCATATATAGATCATGGTTTACGCAAAAAACTCAAAGTCCCCCGATCAATACCGAGGCGCGTTGACGCCCGCATTGGCGGCTGCCGGCGGCGCTCCATCTGCAGGATGTAGCAGCGCAACGCAGCGAAGAGAGTCGCCGGCCTTGCCGATGCTGAAATGGCCCTGCCTCTGAACATGTTTTTATTTTTGTGTTGTCTGGGTGCGTTATAAATGTTCTTCACTACCTTGAAACAAGGTCATTTGGGGATGATTCCCCGTACTACATCATTCCAATGAGGTCGTACTACGATCATTCCAGGTTTCTATGTTGATGTAAATCCTGAGATGTTTTTACATGCTTGATGTCTATATTTTAACTAAATATGATATGAAATCGTATGCTCTACAACATATGGAACAAATGGCTTGATGTTGAACCATTTCACCGCGCCAATCCTGGATTGACCCGGCCCGGTTGATGACTTGATGGGTCACCCACCAAGGGGCTGGTTTCCATGGCCCCGACTAAGCCGGCTATGGTTGATGTTCCAGAACGTCTTTCGCGCTGGTACAATGGGGGCAAACAAACCGATCTAACTATACGCGCAAACACCCCGTTTCGCCCACACCCTTCTTGTCTTGTCTTGTCTTGTCTTGGGAAGATCAACAAAGGTATTAGGGAATATAAAAGTCCCACCCCCGTTAAACTTTACATTCATTTTAGATTCATTGAAGATCTTCAATAAGGGTCTAATTCTCCCACGCCCGTTAAAACTTCTACATTCATTGAAGATCTTCAATAAGGATTTAATTCTTCCACCCCCGATAAACTTCTACATTCATTGAAGATCTTCAATAAAGATTTAATTCTTCCACCCCCGATAAACTTCTACATTCATTGAAGGCCTTCAGTTTAAATCTCCCACCCCCCGTTAAACTTCTACATTCATTGAAGGTCTTCAATAAGGATTTAATTCTTCCACCCCCGTTATACTTCTACATTCATTGAAGGCCTTCAATAAGGGTTTAATTCTCCCAACCCCGTTAAGCTTCTACATTCATTGAAGATCTTCAATAAGGGTTTATTTTCCACCGGGGTTAAACTTCTATATTCGTTGAAGATCTTCATTGATGATGATGATGATGGTGATGATGATGATGATGATGATGTGGAACGAACCTGCACAGGTCCGTTTGCTGCGCGTTCTGATCTAGAACATCAAGTTCACCATAATGCTAAAATATCATATTTTTACCACGTTTTCAGCTCATACGAAGAAGGCGGGCCAACAGGCGCGGGCAAGACGAGGTGTTTGGCCGTAACTATACTGTAGATACATATCCCGTAAACTATGAAATATTGTGCCTATATAGTTCCTATATACCTATCAAACATCACATATATGAATACCATTTTATGGTGATAGGTTATAGAATGTTATAGACATGTTTTCGGTGATAAGCCTAGCGTAATCCCCATTTTGCCAACATTCTTATAATCCAAGGTATGTAAAAATCAATCCTCTATTGTCAATGGCAAGGTGATCCAAATATATCTAGTAACAGTTAGCTTAGCATCAAACATCCCCCAGTCGTGTCTTGGGGGTCCAGTTCCAGTTCGAAGTCATTATATGAACCTATTGATGGTGCCCATATCCCAACTTGTTGCCGTTAAACCATTGCATCATACCCAGAACCCCAACTCCACGGTGGAGTTCTCCAAGTATGGGACACTCCACCCGATGGTTGGCTCCATTCCTAAATGTATCCATGTAATGTGGGTAAAACAATGCCATCTGCACTGCACCATCCCCCAGTCATCACCATTTTTATAGGTGGTATGGCATACGGTATGATTACCATTCCCACATGGGTGGTTCATGATTGTTTTACCCACGTTACTCATTATAGAGGCCCCACATTGCACCCCCTGGAGTCGGATCTTTTCACGATGAAGTCTTCACTTCGCCAACTTCTTCTTGCACAGCTCCATGCCATGCGAGGCTTCCTGTGGCGATGCTCGTCCAAACGCTCCGGCGATGCGCTCCGAAGTGTTTAACCACCCAGAATTAAGTTTAACCACCAAAGAATGTACGCTTAACCATGAAATATTGGAGTTTAACAGAGATATACAGCCAACATGATCCAGCACATTGGACCAGGGTTTCGTTTGGGTTGTACTTGCTATTGGCGGAAGGGATTTCCCTTCAAAGGACATCTACAATGTGGGGCCCCCAGTTGTAAGTTGCTTTTAAAACCCGGTTCACTATAAACCATACTTATTGGATCTTATTGGAGTTGTGTTCACCAACTTAGCTATCCTAAACCGGAGCGCCACTTTGTAGGGGCTAAAACCCGGCATGGGAACGGTCATGCCCTTACTGAGATGATCGTCCTTCCTGAAACGCTTCGTTTCATGTAGGCCGCCTTGTTGAGCCCCTCGGCGAAGTCGTACTCCGAGAGAAACTCCGGTGAGGCTTGACGTGCTTGAGCGAAGAACGACGAGGCCTATGGCCGTGGCTCAGAGATGTTTCTGGGGGGTTCCACCTATTTGGAGATACCCATTGGATACCCTCTGGTAAACATACAAAAAGCTATTGAAAATGGCCATTGAAATAGTGGATTTTCCCATGAAAAATGGTGGATCTTTCCATAGTTTTTTTGTATGTTTACCAGAGGGTACCCCCCAAATCATCCAACTCATTACAGCATCTGAGTATTGAAACCGGTGACGACTGGGGTCTGTGTACCTGGAAATAGCGTGGAAAATGTGCGATCATTGGGTTTATACGAAGTGATACTGACTTGGTTCCAAGTTATATTAAAATATACATTGTTCAAAACGTTCCAATAGTAGTCCTATACTCACTTTGCTCTATTTTATACCCAATCATACTCCATAAGTTGCCCATGATCACTGACATGTAAATCCACTGCCGAGGGTTCTGGTCCGGCGATGCACATCCCCAGCTCGGGTCAGATGGGCGGATTTCCCCAGCCGGGATACCTCTGGTAAACTAACAGTTTGCTATGGAAAATCACCATTTATAATAGGTACAGTGAATCAATTATAAATGATCATTCAAATAGCTATGTTGACATAATAACCAGAGGGTGTTTGCCAACCATGAACCTTTTCAAACATCGATGAAGCAATAAAGAAGCATGGCCAATCTTGGACACCCTGCAAAAGCCGTTATTGTGTGTTTAATATTGTTTAATGGCAAGTATCCCCATGTATTGCAAAAAATCACAGTCTCAAAAATACGAGGTGGCCCCCTCGATGTTTCTTGGTTTATGACCTCCATGAACTATATAGTTACATATATATATATATTATTGTATCATATCTACAATAACCCACAGGTAATTCACCAGTGAACGTTGTACCAACTTAGCTAACTAAATCCCATGAAATCCTAAGTCGTGCAAGAAAGATCAAGTAAGTTGGTGAATTCCCGTTCCATCATCCATGAAATCCTAATTAAATCCTAATCAAATCACCATTTTTGCTGGGCAAGTCATACCTAACTTACCCGAAAACGGGCCAACCACCGATCTATCGACATCTCAAAGGCCTCCTCCCAGTGCTCCAGGTGATAGTGTGCCAAGCCTGTGTTCTTGGCTCTACGGCTCTCAGGTTGAAAGGAGAAAATCTGCGGTTTCACCAGCAAAAATTCTTGGGATTCTTGGAATTTTCACGAACAAAAACATGGATATATATATATATATATTAATGATATATATATATATATACTGTATAAACGATGAGCCCCGTACTAGCCACAAGTTGATGTGGTGTTATAGAACTTATCACTGGGCTGTGGGTTTTCGCTGTGATTAGATCCCGCGATTCTTTAGCATTTATGACAGGGCCCCGGAAGATGGGACTGCCAGAAACCCATGGTCGCAGGCCCATCAACTTCCCGTAGAATTGTGGGATTCTGACATGATATTCGTATTTAAAAAGAAACATGGGAAACGCGGATCCCTGTCTTGGGGTCCCTAAGAATTCCGTCAAGTACTTTGGTGCTTTTTGAAGTTGTGCAACTTACAACTTGGCTTATAAGTGCACCAAGTGGAATTATATATACGCCAAATGAATTTATAATGCATCTAACCCTGAGCATGTTGAGTTATAAGTCACGGCTAAACTATAAATGGTTAGCTCAGACTTAGGCCACTTAGTAAATGGCCCGAGGACCACCTGGCTAAGTGCTTATAAGTGGGTTAGCTAAGTTCTGTAAGTCCTTCGTTTTTCTCGTGGGTTTCAGAATTCCGTCGCCTGAACATTTTTTTGGCGAATTTGAAAAGCCAAACAAATCACAAAATCAAACTTTTTCTCCAAGTTTGAACAGCCAACCAAGTCACACAATCAAACACAGGAAATCTCAGTTCAGCTCTTGTCCTGCCTGCAGCTGTTTTTCAAGCAAGCACTTGCAAAGCGAAAAAACGAACGACGATCGCCCAAAAGCAAGCCGAGGCTAGCCCGGCACATATATCGGGTCGAGGCTCGCCCGACCCATGGCGCAGCAGAGTTCAAGCTCTTTGCATGCACACCTTGGTCCCATCCCCGTCCGGGGAACGATCACAAGTGAGCAGCGGGAGCAGATCAAAGCTGCCACGTCTTGCTCTGCGGCAGTCAGGGAGCGGAACCAGTGGGGCGCCCGGATGCTGACTGTCACTGGCCCAGCCAACGGGCTGCAAGAAGCCCATAGCATGGCCGTGAAGTCCATAGAGGAGAACGGTGAAGATAAGGGTCGTGCAGATCCTGCTGCTGCCAGTGCCAAGAATGAAAGCAAGAAGAAGTGGCATGGTTCCTGGCACTCCTGGTCCACTTGGGATGCTGACAAATGGGTTCCGAGAAGCGAACATGAGGAGCTGCAAAACCGCCTCAAAACAGCGGAAGGGACCATTGCTGGTTTGCAGTGGCGTATGAGCTGCTGGGAAAGCTGGCACTACTACCAAGGGCAACCCAGCTACGGCTATGTGTACCAGAGTGCAGAGGCTCGCCCTGCACGTGAGCCCCGCGCAGAGCCTTGCCCGGGAAAAGATGAAAGAGATGAAAGAGACCGCACCCGAGACCCCAGCAGGAGCTATGACCGACGTGACACCGTGTCACCTTCGGAAGAAAGCAACAGGACCATCCTGCCTGAAGAGACACACACAAAGGAGTCTCATGCCAAAAAGCGCAAGAAGAAGAGGAAGGACCGCCAGCGATGGTCTGAGGATACGGGGCATGGGGATCAGCATGATCAGCGGCATTGGCAGAGGAAGAAGTGAGGCTCGCCCATCTCTTGGCACGAGGCTCGCCCGTGCACTAAAGAATCTTGACACTAGCAGAATGAGCGCTAGCGTGAAAATGGCTGGCACTGGCAGCCTTAACTTTCCCAAGTTGACCGTTGAATTTCGTCGTTCTGTCTTCACAGCGCATGGGCAAGTTGTGGCAATTTGTGCTTGTGCATGACCGCAGCCATTTTAGCAGGTTCTTTTCCAGGAAGAAGCTGGAGGAAGGCTCGTCCTCTTCCGTGCAAAAATGGAGGAAGGCTCGTCCTCTTCCGTGGCAAGAAGGCTTGTCCTCTTGTTTCTGATATGAAGAGAAAAAGGCCCAATTTTGACACCTTTGTTCCTCCGACTGTGACTTTGAGCGTGGCGGCACGAACATCTGGGGGAGACAGAAACCAGCTCCGTAAAGGTATCATCAGGCCTTTGCTGGAGGATTCCGTGTACGGGCACATTCTCCAAAAGTGCCCTATCCAATTCACCAACGGCGAGGCATATGAATGGGAATACATAAACCCGTTTGCTCTCATTCACCAATATACTTCAGCCCGACCACGTTTTGGCGATATGCTGCGGGGGGCTGGGTCCGTACGGATCGCTTTTTACATGGATGAAACTACACCAGGCAATGTGCTTCGCCCAGATCATGGTCGATCACTGGCGTGCTTCTACTGGACATTGATGGAACTACCGTCCTGGTTTCGGAGCCGCCACTGTGGCTGGTTTTATTTCGGGCTTTTTCCTCTGTCGCTGGTGGAGCACGTAGCAGGTGGCTATTCTTTCCTGTTTGCCTTCATGGTGAAAACATTCTTTGGCAAAGGATTGCTAGCATGGGATTTCGACAGGACAGGCATTTGCTGCAAATCAAGTGGTGGAGACTTCATTTTGAAAGCGCGTTTCGGGGCCCTACTTTCAGACGAGAAAGCAATGAAAGAGCTCTGGTGCACGAAAGGTGCTAGTTCCTACAAGCCTTGCCACCTGTGCAAGAATGTGATGGGCCGGGTGGACCTGCCAGACCGCGGCTACTTGGCGCACTACACTTGCACAGATTCAAGCCGCTTTGATTTGCATACTGCTGACAGTTTCCGGACTATGGCACAGAATCTGAAGCTTGAAGCTGGCAACCTGAGCAAAAAAGACTTCGAGCGATTGGAGCAATCTTACGGGCTTGTTTTCGACCCTCTTGGCATCTTGTGGTGTGAAGATTTGGGAGGCATTGTCAACCCTGTATCACACACCTACTGGGACTGGATGCATATATTGATGGCCTGTGGTGGGATTGCTCAGTATGAGTTCAATCAATATGCTAGGCGCCTTTGCAGTGCTGGCGTGTCCTTGCGGGCCCTTGACGATCTTGCTGCGGAGATTGTGTGGCCAAAGGGTGCTTATTGGTCAAAGAAATATTTCCAAAAGCGTGTGGTGGATAAAGACGGTGCCCATTTAAAGGCGTTTGCCAATGAGCTTTTCCAGTTGACGGACATTTGGCGCTTAATACTCCAGCTGGTGGTGCGCCCGGCTGGCATCCTGGAGCTGGAAACCAGAAGTTTAGAGAGCATGATGAAAATCATTGACATTTTGTCAATGCAGGAAGAGGCGTTGCCTCTTGTTGGTGACTTGGAAATCGAAATTGCCCAGCACCACGCTTGGTTTCTAGAACTTTACCCGGATTGCAACAAGCCGAAAACACACTGGCTACGACATGTTCCGTCCTTGTTCAGGGAGTTTGGCTGCAATCTCAGCTGCTTCAGCCCTGAGAAGAAGCACAAGGGAGTGAAGCAGCTGGCGCTTTTGATTTCTGCCAACGTTGAGAAAGGAGTCTTGTACCGCGCAGTTGCAGAAAATTTCTCTTCTTTCTCCAATGATGAAAATATGCTGCGCCCTATTTTCCTGGAACGGGCGCAGGACATGGAAGCTGAGTGGCTGCGGGCATTCTATCCGGACATGCAAGAAGCGAATGTTTCAAAGACACTGCGTTTTGAAGGTGGACGGGTGTCAGCATCAGATATGCTATGGTTTCCGGCTACAAAGCACCTTGCTCAGGCATCCTTCTTTTTGCAGGTTCGGCTTTTGAACTCCTCTGAGTTCTTGATCCACGGGGACTTATATCAGCAGGTTCGGGACAGCAATACTTTTCGAAGCACTGGCGTTGCCAGGCTTTTTGTTTGCACTAAGGACATGGTGCCAATTTCTTTCTGCAAACGAAATGGCGGAATTTGTCCTTGTGTGAGGCTCGCCCACACGAACTGAGCCAGGGCATTTAGCTGAGCGAGTAAATGGCACTGGTCGACCCCTGTATATATGTATATATATAACTTTGTACATACCCTATATGTAAACTTTTAAAATAAACATATATATATATATTATAATATAATTATATATACTATTTTGTCAGACATGCAAATGTCTATATCTATGTACAACATATAAACCAGTTTAAACCCTATGTGCTTTGTGTTAAGGAAGATCCAACCCTTCATACTACCCCTCACCAGTTCATGCCAAATCTATGGAGTGCTTCTTTGGGTCACAGTGCTGTGCTTGTTTTGCAGAAGGTATGCACCAACATGCGACCACGTCAGTTCTTTGTAGTCGCAGCAGCCATATATACCCACAAACCCGAGATTTGACTTCAGATCTTTGAAAGGCTCGCCTTCAATCTTTGCAAGGCTCGCCTGCAGAGACTTGCGCCATGAGCGCCGCTAGCGAAGTGCCTGCTACTGCCACTGCAGAAGCTCTCCCCGAATCTGCGGCCAGTGAAGCTACCGAAGCGGCTTCGCCAGCTGAGACGGCAACATCTTGTGCAGAAACGCCTAGTGGCGTAGTTCCTCTGGACAAGGTGGAGACCGGCCCTGGACTTCCAGCAGAAAATTTGTGTTCCACCTGCAGGAAGCCTGTCTCTGAGGAGAATGGTGTGGTTGTGGCACGGGCAGTGGGGAAGACAGCTACTTCTTTGCGCTGCAGGGCATGCCACAATTTAAAAAGTAGGATCAACCGGGTGTTGAGCCACTATGGCTCATTGGCCCAGGATTGGACGAAGGTGACTGAAAATGAGAAGAAAGAATTTTACAAGAAGTACAAGGAGCAGGCGGGACCGGACCTTCTGACCAGGCTCCAGGAGACAGTGACGGAAAGCAAGAAGACCAGCAGCGCCGTCTCCTTCGAGGGCACCGGCGATTTCCTGGACGAGATAGATTTGGAGGAGAAGTACAAGAACAAGCCAGATCAATTGGCCGCTATTAAGGCCAACACCCGGACCTACTTCTGTCCAGTTCGACAGGTGCAGCTTTTCGAGGATGTGAAATATAAGCGCACGGCTGTGGAGACCGAGGAGCACGCGAAGGTGCAGAAACGCAAGAGGCAATCAATTCCGCTTGAACAAGGTGAACGTGATGAGACGGCTGCAGATTCGAGCCAGTGCAAGAAGGGCAAGAAAGAAGCAGCCAAAAGTGAGCTGCCGAAGTTGAAGGCTGGAGGCAAGAAAAAGATTTCCAAGAAAGTGGAACTGATGAACGCAAAGAAGCTGCAGCTGATGGATTGGAACTGCAAAGCGCGTGGTGACAAAATCAAAGACTTGGTGCCTGGCTATGTCGTGAAGGCTTCCACAAAGCTGGTGGATGACGCTGTGGCCTTTGG